GGAGCGGCCACCGCACTCCAGTCTGGGTGACAGAGTGAGACTCCAACTCAAAAAAAAAGAGATTTTGGTACTATTAGACATATATACTGTATTATTATTTTAAAATAAAGCTGTGTTTGAACTTTTAGTTAAAATTTAGGATTATTTTTAGTTTAAATATGATATGAGGGAGCTCCAAAAATTCCAGAATTTATTTATAAAAAATATTTATTCTTACATGGTTAAACTTCAGTCATCTTCGAAGTACTCTATTTGATGCAATAAACCTATCAAGATGCTTTTTCCACTGCTCAAAACAGTTCTTGATCTCATCAATTTTGATACCTTTTAGTGCCTCTATCAGCTTTTTGTTTCACCTTTTCCACATAAGCAAAATGTTTCCCTTTGAGGACTTTTTTCAACTGGTGAAACATAAAAGGTTGCCCGGGGTGAGATCTGGTAAATAGGGAGGGTGGGTCATGGGGTGGGGGGGGTCATGCTATTTTTGGTCAAAAACTGCTGAGCACTCAGTACAGTTTGGACAGGTTGTTATGTCAATCACCCATTATGAAATGGGCAAACACATTGAAAGAATTTCCAAAAAATATTCACTGAAGCCGAACACAGCCTCTCACAACAACACTATCTGGTATACTGACGGGTTCCTAGAACATTTACTGAACAGGGGAAGTCTGTACATCAAGGGGCCTGCCCTCTAAAAAATAATTCCTAGTTTTTTGGGCTCATTACACATATCCAGGATTAGACTAAAACATTTTTCTTCTATGCCCTAAGTCTACTTTTATAATGTATAATTTTTCTAGAAAAATAAGGGCCTGAAGATCATTTCTTCTTTGACTTATTCATGTTTTATTTATTTGACAAATATTTTTTTTGAATCCTCACTATGGGCCAGGCACTGGGAATACAGGATGAATATTCCCTTTTCAAGTGAATTGATTGTCTTTGGTTTCTAGAATATTATACTCATGCCTTTTCTGTTTCTCCCCCACCCCTGCCCCCCACTGACCATTTGGTTTGGTCTCAGTCTTCTGTGAGACTCTCTACCTAATTTATGCATGTTGGAGTTTCCAGGGTTCTGTCCTAGGTTTCTTTCTTTTCTCCCACTACATGCTGTTGCTAAGTGGATGTATGCTGAGAACTCTCATCTGTAGCATCCATTCTGACCTCTCCATTGTGCTTCATACTTATCCATTTCCTGTTTGGCCTCTTCCCTGAAGAGTCAAACTCAGCAAAACAAAAATGGAACTCTGATTTTTCCACCTCTCAAACCTGCTTCTTCCTGTATTTCCCAGCTCAGTTACAGAGTTGAATCTTTTAACTAAGTATACGCTGTGTCATTCTATTTGTTCAGTTTTGATTTGTGGTCTTTCAGGAATACTTTAAAGTTCTCCTCATATATGTTTTGCACATTTATTGCTGAGCTTATTTCCAGTTATTTTACTGTAACTATTATATGTAGGTGTTGTATTATGCATATTAACTGGTTATTGTTTGTATATATGAAAATGATAAATTTGTGTATGCTAACTTTACATGTCACTCCTTTGCTACATTACCTTTTTAAAATAATATGTTAACTAAGTGATTGGGAAACTGCAATACTTTTGCCAATGGTTTTTGAAGAATGAATGTGATTGTTCAGTTTCTGAACCTTTGAATATTTGACAGTATCTTTTGTTGACTGTGCATATGTTGATATCTTGGCTAGATATAAAGTCGATTAGATAAACTTTCCTCCTTGAAATACTGTCTTTATTGATTTACTGCATTCAAGCCTTCAATATTCTGGTAAAATGTGAAGAGCATTAATTTTTTTATATAAGACTATACACTCTCACACATACTAAAATAGTTCCTCCATATCTATAAGGGCATATGTTCCAAGACCCCAGTAAATGCCTGAAACTGTAGATAGTACTGAACCCTATATATATTATGTTTTTTCCTATACATACATATACACAATAAAGTTTAATTTATAAATTCAGCACAGTAAGAGATTAACAACAATAATTACAAAACAGAATAATCATAACAAGATATTTTAATAGAAGTTATGTGAATGTGGGTTCACACCCTTTCTTTCTCTCTTTCTCAAAATACTGTAATACTTTGGAACTGAGATTGACTGTAGGCATAACTGTAGATAAGAAGAGACTATCGTGTGTGTGTGTGTGTGTGTGTGTGTGTGTGTGTGTGTGTGTGTTTATACTGTTTTTTATCCTGCCAAAATGCCTATAATGTATTTTCTCTTCTTGAAATTCAAAATATAACCAGGCTATTGCCATTTAATTGTTTATTTTGTTGTGAATTTATACTAATTGGTAAATTATTTAAGTCTGTTGACTCAGATTTTTTTCAGTTGAAATTTTTTTCGTCTATTTTTTAAGCCTGCTTCTTCATTCATATAATGGATATAATGATAGTATCTACTATTTAGTGGTTTCCTGAAGATTTAATAAGTAATATATACTAATGAAGGAGTTATTACTGCATCTTTAGTTGCTCAAAAAT